ATCCAGCATTTGCAAGAACTGGCATTCTTGAGGATCTACAGCAAACTAAAACTCACGCATTGCAAAATAATAGTCAAGTTGAAAGTTTAAGTAGCATCCCGTCGAGTCTGCATCAAATGCCTGAAGATTTGAACTATCAAAAACAACAACAGCAACAACAACAACAACAGCAGCAACAGCAACAACAACAACAGCAGCAACAGCAACAGCAGCAGCAACAACAACAACAACAACAGCAGCAGCAGCATCAACAACATCAGCAACAGGTGCAGCAACAACAGCAGCCGCAGCAACAACAACCGCCGCAGCAACCGTACAAGCATGAAGGACAGTTACCGATTGTAGACACATATAATAGTTCACTAAATATTCCATCGAATGCATCACAACCACAAACAATGACTTCCAACACTAATTTGCCAGAAAACTCATATTTCTCAAGTAAAAACGTTCAGCATTCGTTCCCTCCCCAATATTATAATTACTATGACAATAAGAGCACACCAACAGCAGCCAACTATCATATAAACAATTATGCACCCTATGGCCATTTTAATTTTTCACCCTATCATTCCAATTTCCATGCAACGCCTGGTTATAGTTCCGGTAGTTCCGGATCGTACATTAACTCAAATGCCTTTCCCAGACAACCCTGGAACTCAGTTGCAAATCATCAATCAAACAATGAATCAATTCGTCAACAACAATATATGGGAAGCACGTATTCAATCAATGAATGGACTTCGCAATAAACAAAATAATYTAGTTATACTGATGATGATTTCACTAAATAACTTTTGACTTATTTATTTATTAGGTTAGAAAAATCTCTTAAAATGTAGCAGTAAATACCAAATAAGATTGTCATTCCACACAGATAAAATGTATACCCACAATATAAACTTAGTAAATATATAATATGTAAATAAAGTCTATTACTTAACTACTGAAAGTGTATTAATGTCGTAATCTTCCGTATTATTGTGGAGGGTGTGTCAGATTTGTGGAATTTTCCTACGGGTATTATGATATATTTTATTAAAGTAAAATTATTTATAATAATTTGTTGACACAATTTTATATATGATTCAGATTATCTTCAGAGAATACAGGTCTACTGCAAATTAGCGCTAAACAAATTGTATATAACATTTAATGGAATTTCTGAAATATTGCGCTCACATTAATTACTACAAAATCTTTTTCTGTGTGTAAAGCTATTCTGCTCAAAATTTACATTGACGCGAGGTCATTTCTCTTACCCATTCCACAGAAGATTGAGAAAAAGCAAATTTATATAGTTCTGGAAACATACAGCCATTAAATGACAACGGTACTCACGGTATTTTCTAGTCGTGCACCCCCTTACTAAACTACACTCTAAATTGTGCTATTTTAAGAAATTGTGGGATGGGGTTTTGGCAAATTTATCTTTTATACTCATCAAATTATTTTTAACATGGTACATTTTAATAGCATACAAGTAATTTTACAGAAGAACAGGTAGAATGGACTTAAATGAAATTATTTATAAAGATATATATCCCTGTACAATATAWATATTATATATATGAATAAACAGGAAACAACTTGGGATACATCAGAAATTCCTTTAAATTATGAAAACCTTTGTTTGTTCCATGACATCTGTAAAATTTTGGTGTTTAATGTTTTGATGCTAATTCTTAAAAAGTATGTACCTAATCATAAATATTTCAGTTTACGGATTATCCTATTTAGATATAAATTGCTAATCAATATTTCTCATATTTGGATTACATTTTAGCCTTGCCTACAACATGGATCAAATAAATACATATGTGTCGGTATATCTGGCGTGGCTAAAGATCAAACATCCTAAGCAAGATAAACATACATAATTTATATAATTATGCATACATATTTGAACAACTTTTGTAATTGGCCAATAATAAACAGAATAAAACAGACAAAAACAGAAATGGCTTGAATTATCTGTCTTGGCGTCCTGTCTATGAGCCAAATTACTTGTCCATACATTTTATAGGCTAGCAGATGCTACTTTCTGATAGTTACAGAGTATGTATACAAATTTGCATTATTGTAAATATTGCAGATTTCTAAGGTATACTTTAGTTGGCCCAATCGACGCATCGCGTGCTGCCTGAAACCCAAAAATATATTTTTGGGCTTCTATTTCATTGCATTACAAAATTGATTTAAAAAAAATATATATTTCGTATACCCTTGGGAAGTGGGAAGGAATAATGAAAAAATAAATAAAAAATTGAATTTCAATTCAATTCTATGGATACATGTACACCCAAGCAATACATATGTACGTACCCTCTATATACTGATACAATTTGGTGAATTTACGAATGTTTGTATGCAAGATTTATTTATATTTATAAAGCATACACTTTTCCATACACAAACATATTCTTTCTGTTTCTACATACATATATACAGACAGACATATGTACTTATGATTGAATATGTGGTATATTTTTATACGCGCCTCTCATAGCTACACGATATATATATACACATATATGTATGTATGTATGTATGTATATGCATATATAGTTATATTGGTTTTGTGCAATGCGCCCTCCGCTTGCAGCACGCGTCTGCGTCTCGTCTGTTTGTTTATGGCCCACGCACTTAAAGTTAAAAACTTGAAACATAAAGTACACACACACACAAGGACGCACACATACAAAGATCACATCTATTTTTATAATATTGCAGGTAGTCCACTAATGACTAAAGTTTTACCTTACTCTACCCTAATACTAGTCTTAGTCATCCACACGAAAATGGAACTCAGATTTCAAATGGAATGACTTCAAGCAGAGTATGCGGTAGTCGGACATTTGTTGTCAACTGCAACGTCTACTTCTTATATATGCAGTTGCATAGCTTGTAAATATACTAGAGAAATGTAATTAAAAAACCCTATTCGAATTAGATATATAATTAGTAATAGTTAATTAATTATAAATTAAACACCATTTATTAATTTCTTTTTATTGTTATTGCAAAGCAGGTATATTTGTAATAGATTTATTTTCATACTGGTTACGTACCCGACGTAACCCCGGGAGGGGTGCAAAAACAAAAAAAATTATATATTTATCGCTTTATTGCCGTATGTCTAACGCAAAATGTATTTTTTGTTGTGCCGTGTGCATCCACAAATATAGACTACCAGACTACAGAATCTTTCCAGTTTAGTCGGCAGCGTCTTTGACATACAGGAACTTCTTTACAAGTCTACCATAGTCGGTATGTTAAAGCTGTTGAAAGCGAGAAAAAAATCTAAGATATATGTAGTAGAATATTTAAGTTTAGTACTGAAAATTTTTGAGAATCTCTTATAATATTGAATTTCATAATCTTTTGTAGCTAGTATAACACAATGCCATTCGTTCCGGTAGAGACACCCAAATGCCCAGCCTGTGGCAAATCGGTTTACGCCGCTGAAGAGCGCGTTGCTGGTGGCTACAAATTCCATAAGACTTGCTTCAAGTGCAGTAAGTAGAACCGTAAACGAATTTCTTCCTGAACAATATACCAAAATGTGATGTTCCTCGAATAGGTATGTGCAATAAGGCCTTGGACTCGACAAACTGCACCGAGCACGAAAAGACACTGTTCTGCAAAAATTGCCACGGACGCAAGTATGGTCCCAAGGGCTATGGATTCGGCGGCGGTGCTGGCTGCTTGTCCACGGACACGGGTGCTCATTTAAATAGAGAGTGAGTATCTGGAAAAGCTATAAAGGATTAATCTTGAGCCCACTAAGAATTGAATTATAATATGAGCATATACATACATATATGCTATACATACATATCTGTATATATAGATGTATGTATAGATCTATATATGGTATGTTTAAGAAATAATATTTA